TATGTAGTTTATCATCATATCATTATGTTTATGAAGATTTTCTTTCTTAAGACTCTATTGTGAATCGAGCCCAAGGTCTTTTCTCCTTAGTGGACAATGTACCTACATGTTAATTTGCTAGAGAAATTTCTTTTAACTGTTTCTGAACTCAGCAAACATCACCTTAGAGTAGTTAGCCTACTTACCTTTGCCTTGTCAGTCATGTCCTTAACAAGGCATCCTTGGCAGTACACCCACTTGTGTTTCATAGTAGCAAAGTGTAATATGATAAACATACTTACAAATATGATTAACACTGTCACATTTTACACTGTTTTACACATTTGTTGGCCCTTATTTCACATTATGGGATGAACAAATACTCTAACAGTGATTTCAGTATGGATAGTATTCGCAAAATGTGAAAAAAGCCTCCTCCGTATTGTTGACATTCTGTAAGCATAATGTGTGAGCAGTGCCAGTGGCTATGGCTTCCAAATCAAGATATGTTGATCTGTACTAAAACGATAAGATATCTTTGGTCCTGATTATGTATTATTGTCTGCAATAATATATCCAGACATTTATAACTACCTTTTAAATACTGCATACGCATACGCATTACCGGGGCTAAAAACATACAAATCTCTAGAATCATTTGATTATTTGACCTTATTTGTACTTTCTACTACACCATCAAACGTCTCCAGGATCACAAGAATCAGTAATAACTACAATGTTTGATGGGGTTAATCCTTGTTAGCTTGACTTTAACTTAAGCTGTGTAAGCCCTACTAACTTTCTAGCATTCTCCTAAGAGCATTTGTTGTCTAGTTAATGCATATGACATCTAGACATAAATAGTTAGATTGCAAAAATCTCTAAGTCTCTGGCTCTATGAGCTGTCGCTGCTGTCATTGTCACATTGATCAGCATTATGACAACGATATGGTGGTGGCATATCATCGCTGTTCAAAAAAATATATCTTTATGTTAATTTTTGTTAATTTTTATTTGATTATTTTTTATTATTTATTAATTTTACAATTTGAACATGGGGGCTGATGAATGGACAAATGGAAGCGCTCCAAAATGAACCGCTGTAGGTAGGCTAAGTACTCTAAGTACACTTATAAGCTCATGTAAGGCACCTCCCCAAACTCAAGCACAGTGACCAAAATACTTAAACAGTCAGCTGTTAGATTTTGTTTTTTTTACTGATTTTTTACCCTCCTAGCATCATTGCAATACCTTGTTTGTGAAAGTTAGGTGAAAATCGTTTTTTTTTTCTTCCCTGAGGTTAACTGAATATTTTACAGGTGCTTGAATATCAGTATTAATCTCCACTTTCAACACACTTTTCCTTTGGAGTAAAACTGTTGGAATTGGAAGAGTTATTATTCTGCTTTCTAAGCACGGAGGGATATCAATGGCTCTTTTGGATCCAGAGCCCATGTGGGGGATGAACAGTAACGATTGAAAAAACACGGGCCTCAGGGCAGATGGGGCTAGTAAAAGCAAATCGACCTTTAATCTACTGACTTACTGCATGCTGCAAATGACCACATGCCTGGTTTAAGTTTGTCGGACCTGGATACGGACAGAAATGTCAAGGTAATAGGGGATAAACGTTGTAATAGGAGATGAATGACCTGAAAAAGCCTACTCTTGTGAGTTTATCCTGTCCTCAAGAAATAAATCCCTCAAACCGTTTTTCCTTAAGAGCGGATTTTCTCTCCTTTTTGATTTATGCCATGTTTTTATATGAAGTCCGTGCACCAGAGATGGATAATATTTTGGATACATTTGGAAGCCAGCTCTTTGTCTCCCACTAGGTTATAATAGGGGCTAGACAGAATGATGAGAGAGGTAGAGGGTTGGAGAAGTGGAGATAGAATACAAGGGTACATAGGGAGTAATATACAGTGCAAGACAATGCTACTGATATTAGTATTATAAATACACATACCATAATGCAACTGTACATACTGTAAATATACACAAGTGCATACATGTATAATGCAGTTGTGTACACTAGGGTCCGGCATGTGCCGGCTGATTTTAAGGAGGTAAAATTTCAGTGTGTATTGAAATTACACCCTGAGTACTCAGCAAATAAATATTGTGATCCTGATAAAGTTTCCGATTCTGGTGGGGGGCATTTTCTTATGTCACTCACTTTCCTGCTTTTCTTTGACATGCCAGTGACCTTTGACCTAATGGAGAATTGCTGACTCTCAATGGTCAGTTCAGATCTGAAGTAGCCCCAGGAGGAACATATTTGCTTTCTATTTCATCTCCGAACATGCCTAGTCAGCTAATGGGCTTCTGTACCAGGCTTAAATGTGTCCAGAGCTGAAAAAGAACAAAAGTACAAACTGCCCAAGGGTCCACGAGGACAGGGAAAGCAGCTTTGGATGAAGTTTTGTCAGCGTTCACCTGAGACAAGACATTTCTGCTTTGTCCCCAAAAAAAAATGTCATCAGTTCAAGCGTCCTGCTGTGCGTGTATTTGTGTGTCCCCTACAATAAAGTCAATTGCCACTGCTGAGGACAGACAGAACAAAGTTGCCTTCTAACACACTCAGTCAGGAAAGCACACACACACACCTGCACAAACATACGCACACATGCAGCAGTAAAGAGGGGAGACGTTTACATGCTAAAGCTGATGTAATCTCTTTCTGGCTGCTGTAGATCTGACCTTAATCTCACCAAAGCATGCTTTTGGCTTTATTAACCATCAAAGCCCAGTACAACACACACACAATCACAATCACTTACACGCTCGCGACTAAGAACTCTCCTTGATAATTCTTGAAATTGCCGTTTTGGAGTAAATAAAACCTGTTAGTTGGTCTGAGAGACTTAAGTCTTGCATGACCAGACAGACCATTTGTTACTTTTGATGTCAGAAGCCTTCAGTTCCACAAGGACATCTGGAAATTTTCTGAAAATTTCACTGAGGAAATGAATATAGTACATTATATAAGGCAATTTGATGCAATTACACACTTAAGAAAAAAGATATGTACATTTTTGTTCATCCAGGTGCAAACCATGTATATCAATGTAAATGTAAATGTTGTACCCTCAAAGGTACAACAGTGGTTTCAAGATCCACCTGTGCACTGTAAATAATTGTTCCAGAAGAAAAGTACTTGCACATTTTTAAAAGCTTGTTTTAGAAGTGTAAAATAAAATAAAAAAGCCTGGTCTCAAGGCAGGGTGTATGGGAACTGTGCCTCTTGAAACTATAACTGCAATAAAGTGCTGTACAGTTATTATACATACCCTTGAGGGTACCACCCTAGTGATGTGAGAGGTACCACTCCAATGATAGTTCAGTACCTTTTTTTTCTGTGAGCGTAGAGATGACGCTATACCACTTTTTCTTTACTGATAGTAATACCCCAAGCACTTCACAACCACATTACCTTTACTGGACCCAAAATAAAAATAAGAATAATTAGGCATGCATTAATACCGATACTGGTATCTGGTATCAATTATCATCCCGATACGTGCTCATGTACTTGTCTCGATCTCATAAAAATGCATGGATTGAAACATCCGATACCAGCTAATACCAAAGCCTAGTGTATGCTGCAGTGCATAATGAACTAAAGCCTCAAGCTGGCAGTGAACTGATCCCCTAGTGAAGTCTTTCTGACACCGTGGCAGTCTGACACAGTTACTGGGCGCTTAAAACATTATATTATATATAAAACAAATATTTTATAGTTAGTAGGATATTGCAAATAGGATGAGTTTGACCTTCCACAAGTAGATCAGATTTATTTGTATGACTCAATTAAAAAAAAAAAAATCTAATTTACACAAAGTCTTGGTGTCTGCAATTTGCTACTTTTTTCACCAAATGTTTTTTGACTGATTAGCTCCATTTGGAGTAAAGGAAAATGTGTTCAAATTATTTTTTTGCTGAACTATTTCTTTACGTTTGCTGATTTCCTGGGTCTAGTCTATACTGTGGTACCACCAACTAACTTTGCGCTGGGGAACCATTTACCTCACGCACACAAATCCTGTTTGAATCCCAGTCTCATTTTTCTATCAAACTCTATATGGATGTGATTCACTGGAACAAAATGTACCTCAAGAAGGAGGGCTGATTCCACAGCGGTGGCTCTATGAACCCAGGTGAAATTGAGATGAATTATTTTTCGAGATAACTATGCAATCACACAGGAAGAACAGGATGTTCTGTCAGTAATCTGATAACAGCGGAGCTTCAGGTCTGACCCAGACACTAGAGATGGGAATTTCAGTCAAATTTGATATTCAGATTTGTAAGGCATTATTCAAAAATATTCACAAAATACCACCCCCCTACACAAACCAAAAAAAAACATTGTTTTTAACAATGTGTGTGCCGCTAGACAATGGCTTCCAGCACTGCTTACTGACTCTGAGCAGTATCTTTCTATAACTGCAGAACCAGATCCCAAAAGCCAAAAGTTGATATGTGGCTTGAAATTTACACAGATAAAACTGCCTTGAGCTAACATCACTGTGTAACTTATTAAAAAACAACCTGTTTAGCTTTACTCCTTTAAATTTATGCAAAAAGAGTGAGAAATTAACTTGAGCTTAATATTTATTGGTGCTGTCGCTGTGATGCTTCCAAGGTGATTTAGCTGGGCTTTGTGTACTGTCGTCTACCTTTCAAGAGAAGCGAATTTGCTTATTAAAAAGCTTGATTTACTATTTGATTTTTTTAAATCTTAATGACTGTTCCAAAAATTCTGACTTATTCCTACTAGACGCAACGGTATATCTCAATATTTGTACTACTTCTTCATGTACGCTTTTAGATTGGCCTTCAGGAGATGTAATGATACAAGTACTGCATGATGAAATACAACATTTGTACATATGCTGCATAATGTAATATCTGTGAAATGCAGTGTGTAGAATTATTTAGAAATTATTGGAATATGTTGCCTGAAATGAGCTAATATCGAAGCCTCTCAATCATGACCGTGTGTGTGTGTGTTCCAGAGGTGGTCCAGAGGCCTCACGATGGGCCAGGAGAAATGGGGAAACCAGTGATCATTCCTAAAGAGCACCAGGAGAAGATGAAGGAGATGTTTAAGATCAACCAGTTCAACCTGATGGCCAGTGAGATGATCGCACTCAACCGGACACTGCCTGATGTCCGTCTCGAAGGGTGAGTTAGTGTGTGTTCTGCAAAAGGGGGTGCGGAATGCTTTAGTTGTAAGGTTTTAATTACATTGCAAGACCAATTCTCTTTGAACTTTCTAAATATTGAGTAAAATTACACAGGTTGACATTCAAACTTGTTAGCTACATTAGCCTTGTAGCTCCAGTGCAAAACTGAAAAATAAACATCTACCTAGGGACATAAATGATTCACCAATAAACTGTTAGCTGAGAAATAAACAATTGTTCAACCAATGCAATTAAAACCATTAAGTGCACTAGGCAATTGGTTCCACTAGATAGGCCTACTAAAAAATGAATTGTGCTACAGAAAATAGCTTGAAAGCATAATAGCATTACTGCAATGATGTACCATATCGAGAGCGAACATCTCTAAGGCAGAAACTCCATGCTTATGAGAAAAAGTGTGATGGCCAATTGTGTGAGGAAATTACACACGGGTGTGCAAAATTATAGAGAAGGATGTCGTGGGTGCTACCGAGCTACTGAGGCGTTGACCTTAATTAGTTAACCTTAGTAAAGAGTGGTAAGTATAATTTTTAAACGTTAGAATGTAGAACTTTCAGAAGCTCACTACACTTGTTAATACCTTGCTAATACCTTAGATGGAACACTTGTTAATACTTTGGTGCATTTGTACTTGGGTTGTGGTTATATGGCACTTAAACGCATTATAAAACATTAATTATAAACATGCATTTACTTAATACACGCATGCACAACAGAAATTGCTTCGGGTATCGGTATCCCCATCGGCGATACTGATACCCCGAAGCAATTTCTGTTGTGCATGCGTGTAATAAGTAAATGCATGTTTATAATTAATGTTTTGCTGTTATGCACCCTTGATTTCAGGCTTGCCTGTTAACAATACCCACTGACTATCATGGTCAGTTATCAGTCAAAACAATTTGCCAAAATTTGCATCCCTACTCCTGACACATTAAAGGTGAAAGATAAATTGTGTAAATATATTTGTTTACTTTGTTTTATTTCATAAAAATTGACAGTACTCAGCGCTCATATAAAAGTAAAGGGCACAAAGGCACACACTGTAGCTACAGTTACATATCGATCGTATTGACACTTCTGACTTAGCTGTGTGAGCTTGTCTCGGAGCATGACTTCAGAGTGACAGGTTGGTGTATTGTTGTTGGCTGCTGGCAATCCTGCGGCTTTGTGTGTGTGGAGCTGGAGCAGTGAGTGGAATGCAAACACCGACCCATGAAATGTGTTTATTTTCTCTCCCTCTACTTAATTACCAGCCAGCTTTTTTTTTCCTCCCTCAGCTTCGTTTGAAAAGATCCAGTAGAATCGACACATTCAATTAAAAGATAAGAGTGTGTCAATTACAAAGTTGCAGCCAGCACTTAGCATCAAACTTTTTCACTCTCTCTTTCTGTTTTTCCCTAGTTGCCAGATAAGCGACTAATAAAAATAAACAACATTTATTTTTCAACGTTTTAAGCTTTGCCTTCATGAAAGCTTATGTGTTTTTTTAGAGCACTTGACTGAGTTACAAAGCGTAGGCCTGACGGTACCTACCCTTCTATTCATTCTCAACCTTTTCAGGCTTTCCTTGGCAACACTGAAAGCCAGTCTGCCCTCCACGTCCAAATGTGCCAAACATCAATCGGCGCTGACTCTCAGAAGCTAAGCCGTTGCAGTTGGTGGAGGTTACTATGCTGTGTGTGTGTGTGTAATGTTGCTGCAGGTGCTGCTGTTTCCCTGTCGCCCGAGCGTAGGTGTTGGTCAGACTTCGTCTTGGCGCAACGCCCGGACGCAGTTTGCACTGATATTTAAACGTCTTGTGCTTAGGCTGCATACGTTATCAAATGGGTTTAGAAGAATCGATGCCTGTAAGCGTGGTTGTGGAGGAAAGGTCAAATTATTGTGTCTGCATGTGTGTAGGATGTGTGTGTGTGTGTGTTTGTGAGAGAGAGAGAGTGAAAGAAAGGGAATTCAAAAATAAGGAGTCGGGCTACATTTATTAGTGGGCTGGTTTACTGGTTGAAATTCTTCCTTAGGTTTGAGTTTGGCCATAATTGTTTTATTGGTATGCCACAAATAAGCGCAGATAATGTGATGTACACGCAGTTTGATGTTAGCCTGTTTGGGCAAATGGCAACAGAGCTGAGCCAGGGATGTTCTTTATGTTTCAGATGAAAATGAAAATGCAGCAGACGCACAATCGCCTCCCGCTGTGTGTTGCTTATGAAGTTGTCCACTTTATTGCCGAGGCAGTAGACATAAAGGAATTGCCAGTCTTTTGGAATTAGTCTAACATTTCCTTTCGTAATGCATCTTACTTGGTCAGGCATCAGATGAGGAAGTGGTCTTATGGCCTTGTGTATCCAAAAACACATTTTCTAAATTCCAGCAGTGACTGACAGTCGGAGGCACGAATGTATGGGATGCACGTGTGAGACAAATGACAAAGCTGAAGTTGGCTTCTGTTCGAATTTCTCATTCCACCTTAAATTGTACAGTAGTTACATTCAGGCAACTTTACAGGTGTCAGAATGTAACTGCTGCTCCAGTCAATCTAGAACGGAATATTTGAAAAGCTTGTGAATAAGAAGTCATGTTCAGCCTTGTAGAAATTAAGATGTGAAACAGTATATAGCACCATTTTTGCCGTTTTTTTATTTTGCAGAATAAAATTGGTTCTTAATAAACAGGAGGGGACATACCAGAATAAAAAGTCACTATTAACATACCAAATATTCTTTATATTTAAAATTATTTTATTTACAAATGTGTGTATGTATATATATATATATATATATATATGTATGTTGAAATGTTTTCATATAAAGCCCCACTTCGCCTTTTTGCTTACAATGAAATATAGTGTCAGCTGTTTATGTTCCAACATTCTCTGCAGTTCTACGTCACATGCACAATCAAAATTGTGTCTAAAAATGGCAAGATAATATATGATTTATTTCATATTTAATTTCAAACTACATGCGACTTATTTAAAGTAAATGAATGCTAAAATGATTATCGATATATGAATTTTCAAATAACCATTCCCATCTCTAATAGATAGAATAATCGATTGTTATCAGTTGCAAGCATGCAAGAAATGAACAGTGCCAAATGTGTTCAGAGCAGAGGTCATATGTGTGTGGAGAGGTGTTTATCTTTGTGTTTAAGTCTCACTAGGGTACCGTATCTTTCATTACTGCTCCATTTGACTCAAATATTGACCCTGCAGATCAGAGAGCGAGAGTGAGGCAAACAATGAGAGAAGTGGGAGGGTTTAGACAGGGGTTATCATACTTGTCCTTGAGAAACGCTGAAAGAGTTGTGTTTGCCATTTTGCCCGAGATGGCACAGCCGTCCTCTCTCACACTCAGGCTTTTCTTCTGCCTAAAATATTTACGGTTTTAAGTCTCCGGGTGGCCTCGAAAGGCGCGACCATGGAAACAATTTCGCCATGACGACGCAGTCTGGGGCTTTACTTGCCAAGAAAAGCAAGGAACTCGACTCAACCCTGCATGTGAAAGCGGCTTAATTGTCTCTCTCTCCCATATATAGACATATGCACATGTATTTCTCTGGTGGCGATGGTGAGGTAAGTCTTTGAGCGTTTGCGTCAAGGCAAAACTTACATGTGTCTCATGGCGCAGTCTTCAGACAACCGGTGAGCTCAGTGGTGCACCTGAGATTTGAGATTTTGGTACATGCCTTCAGAGTTCAGTTTTGGGATGCGTTGAAATTGTGGCCTCTGTAAATACCAAACAGGACAAGATTGACAGTGCTGAACATTTTGACTGAAAAACTTTTTTATGAATAGACCTGCAGAGAAGTGTCAAAATATAACACTTCTTAAATAATTTTAATTGTAATTAAAGGTTTGCATGGGCATGAAATTGTAGCCTGAACTTGACTCATACCCACGACTTTTAAGATCTGACCACATCTGAGCGGTACTGCATTTTATTTTTAATTTTTGCCCAATTTTCTCCCCAATTTTGTCCGACCCACACTAGCTAGGGTGAAGGCTAGCGCACGCTTCCTCTGAGACACGAGGCATTACTGCATCTTTTAAAAAGTGCAGCTAATGCAAAGTCATTGGACAACTGACCATGCTTGACGGAGAACGCTATCTGCCCATTCTGTTACATGTTACATCATCGGGATGGATAGGGAGGGCCTGCCCATCCAGAGAGAGCCCTGCTGGGCTTGGGTCACAGGGAGCAGACCTCTAATGGTAATAAGAATTATGGTTTAAAAGATGCTCTCCTGCACCAGCAGCTCAGTGTACGCAATATCCTGTTATTCGATCTTTTCAACAATAGTCCTGAATCTTTTTTTCCAGACACAAGCAGTGAATACATTGGTGTGTCTCAAATTTTGGTTTCTGTTTCAGCCAATAATTTCACTATTTCACACAGCTAATCTAAGCTACCCAGATTGTTTTCTTTAGTCCTGCAGTGTTTTTATTTTTGGCTAAGCTTAGGTGTGAGTGAAGTTGAATGGAAAATAATTCCATAGAGAAGCATCTTTTCACGCAAACCTGCTAAATTCTGGCTATGCTCAGCTGTTTGTTAAGAAGTAGTTTTATGGCTTTTTAAATATGTGCAGGTAATTTTGTGTGGGCTTTTTGTACCCTCTCTTAATTTAGTTGCCTCTCATTCTTGGTCTTTCTGTCTTTATTACTATGGTGCTTGCTCACAGGAAGGAAAGACTGAAGTGTATTGCTGCAACTTTTAAGGCTATTAGCCATGTAGAATTGCCAGGATTGCTAAATAAGTGTGAGCAGTATGACGATAATTTATTGCATGTCACATCACAGTATGCTTCTCTGAGCATATCATGGCAATTTTCAGAACTTGAAAAAAAACACTGACCAACTGCGTATTTTATTACAAAGAGAGCATAATGAGGCCTGTTGGAAATCAGATTGATTTTGGATCAGTCATTAATGAATCATTTTTGTAGTTTTTTTTAATGTAGCACTACAGGGGATTTTGT